GGGAAAGGAACCCTTCCAACCTGAGAGACCTGGAGCAGTTGGGGAAAGGAACCCTTCCAACCTGAGAGACCTGGAGCAGTTGGGGAAAGGAACCCTTCCAGTCTGAGGGACCTGGAGCAGTTGGGGAAAGGAACCCTTCCAACCTGAGAGACCTGGAGCAGTTGGGGAAAGGAAATCTTCCAACCTGAGAGACCTGTCAGTTGGGGAAGGAAATCTTCCAACCTGAGAGACCTGGAGCAGTTGGGGAAAGGAACCCTTCCAGTCTGAGGGACCTGGAGCAGTTGGGGGAAAGGAACCCTTCCAACCTGAGAGACCTGGAGCAGTTGGGGGAAAGGAACCCTTCCAACCTGAGAGACCCGGAGCAGTTGGGGAAAGGAACCCTTCCAATCTGAGAGACCCGGAGCAGTTGGGGAAAGGAACCCAGCCATGGAGGGTGCCAATAATTCTGTCCATTTTGGGGCGTTTGCCGTGGAATGGGTCAGATTTGGCTTTTCGCTCCTTCACTTTGTTTGTGTCACCAATACAAACCAAAGACATAAACACGAGAATGCCAAAACATTTGTCATGGCAACAATTTTCTGGGTGAAGTGGTGCTTGATCTGACTGAAAAGCTGAGGGGGGGGGGGGGCATGACTGTAGGCTAAGGAAAAACGGGTTGGGGGGGGGGGGTTCTGTAGTCCTGTCCCAGGGTGACACTGCCCATAGACACAGTACAATGACTGAGTGTTGTCACCCCAGGACAGGAAGTGCCTTACTGGCAGGATCACCAGGGGCAAAAAAAAAAAAAAGAACAAAAGTCAGAAAAAGGAAAACTAAAGCAGACGCGATTTCAAGAGAATATATCTCCTTGGCTCTCCAGACCGATCAGCAATTCTGCAACCCCCCCCCCCCCCAAGACCTGAGATTGGCGTGCAATTAAATATTTCACCCCCCCCCCCAGGCGCTCATGTGGCGAGTGGGTCGCCTTTGTTTGTAAACCACGGCGTCCTGTCCCCCCCCCCCCCACTCCCCGAGATCTGAGAACAAGCATTAGCAGATGACAGATCTGAGATAAAAGGACATCTTGAGCGCAGAAGAGATCGCTGCGTGCGGCTCCGGGCGGAGGATCGTCGCAGGCGTCTGCGGGGGGGGGGGGAACCCATCTCCTGCCACAGGATGGCGGTAAAAATTGTTATGGGTGGGCCATAATGTGCAGGGAATAAAAGTTTAGTACCCGGCCCAGATGGGGGGGCGGTAAATCAGCGAGCGGCTGAAAGTGCTCCACGCTGATGACATGTTGAAATGAAACCTTTCCGTTCTCGTTACATTCTTTATTATTATCACTGGGTCTCTGTGCTTCCCTATGCAATGCAGGTAGATCGTGGCAGGTGGGAGGGGCCAGCTTCCTGAAAACATCACAGCACCCTGCCTCGGTACTCCTCGTAAGAGTCCTCAAGTAGTGGGAGGAGTTATGTTTGATGGGTGGGGTCAATCTGGAGGAGAGGGTGTTCCTAGGCAGGCACTATTTGCATAGGTAACGCCCACAAGTGGCAGCCTCCATGACTGACAGAACTGATATTCAGTGAATGAAAAGGGGGGATGGGGCAGAGACAGGCCGGGGAGGGAAGGGTGAAATGATGCTGGGCGTCCTCCAGCCAGGAAATCAGGCAGACGGCGGTAGCTCCTCGATTCGGCTTCCATTGCAGAGAAATGTCGGATTACAACCCCGGCCGGCCCAGCTGTTGTCTGTTTAGAGTCACGTCAAGTAAACAGCGGCTTCCCGGAACGTTGCGGATGTGTCGGCAAATCCAGCGACCGCAGAGAAAATATTAAAGGGTCACTCCGGACGGACAGCTGACTGAACAACCGTGACACAGGAAATGGAACCCATCCTACTGGGGTGATCCCCTCCCCCATTCCACGCTCTACTTTATCAGGAGGGTGACAACACTTGTCAGATCCTGCAATTCTACCGTCCATGTGCCACTGCCCCGCCCCCTGCCTGCTCTCTGAATGGCTGGTAAACAGTCAATGTGCCACTGCCCCGCCCCCCCTCCCCCATCTGCTCTCTGGCTAGCTAATGAACAATCTTTGTGCCGCTGCCCCGCCCCTGCCTAATCTCTAGATAGCTAGTGAGCAGTCCATGTGCCACTGCCCCGCCCCTGCCTAATCTCTGGATAGCAGTAGTTAACAGTCTATGTGTGCCACTGCCCCGCCCCTGCCTAATCTCTAGCTAACTGATGGACAATTTCTGTATCACTGCCCCCACCCCCTTCCTGTTCTATGGATAGCTAGTGAACAGCCAATGTGCCTTTGCCCCACCCCTGCCTAATCACTGTATAGCTATTAAACAGTCCACGTGCCTTTGCCCCACCTCTGCCTAATCTCTGGAAAGCTGGTGAACAGTCTATAAGCCAATGCTCCGCCCCTGCCTAATCTCTGGATAGCTAGTTAACAGTCAATTTACCTTTGCCCCACCCCTGCCTAATCTCTGGAAAACTGGTGAACAGTCTATGAGCCACTGTCCTACCCCTGCCTAATTTCTGGACAGCTAGTTAACAGTCAATGTGCCACTGCCCCGCCCCTGCCTAATTTCTGGATAGCTGGTGAACAGCCTATGAGCCACTGCTCCGCCCCTGTCTAATCTCTAGACAGCTAGTTAACAGTCAATGTGCCACTACCCCGCCCCTGCCTAATCTCTGGAAAGCTGGTGAACAGTCTATGAGCCACTGTCCCACCCCTGCCTAATATCTGGACAGCTAGTTAACAGTCAATGTGCCACTGCCCCACCCCTGCCTAATCTCTGGATAGCTGGTGAACAGTCTATGAGCCACTGCCCCGCCCCTGCCTAATCTCTGGATAGCTGGTGTACAGTTTATGAGCCACTGCCCCACCCCTGCCTAATCTCTGGATAGCTAGTGAACAGTCTATGAGCCACTGCCCCGCCCCTGCCTAATCTCTGGATAGCTAGTGAGCAGTCTATGAGCCACTGCCCCCCCCCCCCACCTAATTTCTGGATAGCTAATGAACAATTTCTGTGCCACTGCCCCGCCCCCTGCCAACTCTCTGGATAGCCAGTGAATTATCAATGTGCCCTGCCTGAACTATGGATAGCTAGTGAACACCCCCCCCCCCCCCCCCGCAGGGGGCAGAGATGGCTGTCTTTGTGCGTTCACGCACAGCGCGTTGACATGCATTGTGGGTAGCAGCGAATCGGCTCCTTAGTGTACTAAAACGCACCAAAAGATGCTCATTTACTTTTTTTTTAAAGGCGTCACGCCACCACGCAGGTAGCGCATTGGCGCCTATTGCAGCGCGTTATAACATACATGCATTAAGGGACTAAGGAGATGGTAGCTCCACAACGCATAACATGTTCATCGTTGGGCATCCCCGCGGAGCGCAGGTGGGGGCCCCGCCTCGGGGCCCGTTGACATTCGTTGCGTCGCGTCCATTCGTTATTTCTCTAATTAACGTGCATTGAGATCAATGGCACCAAAATGTCCCAAAAATCACCAAATTTATAACGGGTCCCTCGAAATGCAGGGAAGTGGGCGGAGCCAGAAAGGGTATTTTCAGTGGCGCCCGCCACGTACCACCAGTCGCCGTGCCACCATGTCACCTGTCGCCATGCCGCCCTGGTAACCCCATCCGGTGGGTCAGGATCCAGGAATCCGCGGACAGCTGCATGTGGGTCACATCGATTACTTTCCACGTCACGGCGAATAAAACGGGTTCGACGCCAATCTTTCATGAGTCACGCTGAGTGGAGGAGCTGGGACAAAGGGTCTTATGGGCGGATGTGGTGGGGGGGGGGGTGGATGGTGGCTGAATCATGCTTCTATCTCTCACAGACCTCTGGCAATGCTTTTCTCTCCAGAAGGACGGCGCCATCTTTGTCTGGCATCATCCACGGTCACCCTCTACTTCCCGGACTGAGAGATCACGTCAGTTCTGGTGCCTGTGCAGTTCCTTGGTGGTGTTTCACAAATGTCTGACACAGATCAGCCCCCCTGCTGCAGCCTCTCGCCTTGCTACAAAGGTACAATGTACAGTCTGAGTGATCAACAGGAGAGAACTTTGTAGTATATATGGTAAATTTGGGGCGGGGGGGGTCATGTCAGGTCATCAGCACAATATGGAGGCCCTGCAATGACCCCCACTGTCCGCGGCGCCCCAAATCGAACTGATCTTGGAAGGAAGCACTTCCGACCCCGGGAACGTTTCCCAGGCTGCAGAATTTTCTGCTCCAAGACGGGAAAATTTTTTTCTGTGTTTAATTTAATCGCTATTTCCCAAGAGTGCGGCGCACACGTTTGGGACCAATGCTGGCCGATCGCCAGGGACCGCGCCAATTCTCATAGATGATGCATCTGGAGAGGTTCCAGGTCCCCTCTGGTGTCCCATGAGTCACTTTCACAGAAGAGATGACAAGTCTGCGTCATGGCGCGACATCGTATTACATCACAGGGGGGGAGGGGGGCGAACGTAACATCATTTCCACAAACAGGACTTCAGAACGAACATCGGGAAATGGGGATGAACCGGGATCAGGAGGACAGCTTGGAGCGATCAGGACGCGGGTCCCCCTGTATTGCGTAACGGCGGAGCTGAGGCATTCGCTCTGGAGACGGAAAAGCTGAACTTACACTGGGACGCCTTAAAGGGGCGCTCCGGTCACATGTTCAATCCGACCTCCGGGTGTCCCGGCCCCTCCCTTTCAGTCTTGTACAGGTGTAACGGCTCCTCCCCTTCAGTCTTGTACAGGTGTCCCGGCCCCTCCCCTTCAGTCTTGTACAGGTGTCCCGGCCCCTCCCCTTCAGTCTTGTACAGGTGTCCTGGCCCCTCCCCTTCAGTCTTGTACAGGTGTCCCAGCCCCTCCCCTTCAGTCTTGTACAGGTGTAACGGCTCCTCCCCTTCATTCTTGCACAGGTGTCCCAGCTCCTCCCCTTCAGTCTTGCACAGGTGTACCGGCTCCTTCCCCTCAGTCCGGCAGAGGTGTGCCGGCTCCTCCCCTTCAGTCTTGGACAGGTGTACCGGCTCCTCCCCTTCAGTCTTGTACAGGTGTACTGGCTCCTCCCCTCCAGTCTTGCACAGGTGTCCCAGCTCCTCCCCTTCAGTCTTGCACAGGTGTGCCGGCTCCTCCCTTTCAGTCTTGCACAGGTGTACCGGCTCCTCCCCTTCAGTCTTTGACAGGTGTCCCGGCTCCTCCTCTTCAGTCTTTGACAGGTGTACCGGCTCCTCCCCTTCAGTCTTGCACAGGTGTACCGGCTCCTCCCCTTCAGTCTTGCACAGGTGTACCGGCTCCTCCCCTTCAGTCTTGCACAGGTGTACCGGCTCCTCCCCTTCAGTCTTGCGCAGGTGTACTGGCTCCTCCCCTTCAGTCTTGCACAGGTGTACCGGCTCCTCCCCCTCAGTCTTTGACAGGTGTACAAGCTCCTCCCCTTCAGTCTTACACAGGTGTCCCGGCTCCTCCCCTGGAATGAATTGTCTTCCTCTGATGTCACTGCACACTCAGAGCTTCTCACAATGTGCATTAGAAGCTGCAGCCAATCGGACAGAGCTCCGCCCCATTTCCTGGCTGGAGTACATCCAGCATCATCTAGCGCTTTCTTCCCCAGCCTGACTGTTCCTGCCCATTGGATTTCAGTTCTGTCAATCATGGCGGCCCGGCATCACATGTGGGCATCATCTATGTAAATACAGCCTCTCCTCTAGACTGATACCCGCCCACCAAGGTATTTTGATATTTGCATAACTCCTCCCACAGCTTGCATGAGTACCCGCATTGCATAGAGAAGCACAGAGACCCAGTGATGACATCACCAGGCGTAAAACAAGGAATGTGATGAAAATTAAAAGATTTTATTTTTATTTATATCTCTTATGTACCCCCCCCTATATCTGTTACATTATATGTGCCCCTCCCCCCTATAACTGTTACATTGTATCACCTTTTATATCTCATTTGTGCCCCCCCCCCTAAAACTGTTATATTGTATGACCTTTTATTTTACGTGCCCCTCCCCCTCTATAAAAGTTACATTCTATCCACCTTTTATGTGTCTCCCTTCCCCCAATACTAGTTACATTGTATCCACATTATATATCTCTTATGTGCCCCCCCCCCCCCCCTCTCTCTAACTGCTACATTGTATCACCTTTTATAATATGTGCCCCTCCCCCCCCCCCTCTCTAACTGCTACATTGTATCACCTTTTATAATATGTGCCCCTCCCCCCCCCCTCTCTCTAACTGCTACATTGTATCACCTTTTATAATATGTGCCCCCCCCCCCCCCCCCCTCTCTCTAACTGCTACATTGTATCACCTTTTATAATATGTGCCCCTCCCCCTCTATAAAAGTTACATTGTATCACCTTTTATATTATGTGCCCCTCCCCCCCCCTCTCTCTAACTGCTACATTGTATCACCTTTTATAATATGTGCCCCTCCCCCTCTATAAAAGTTACATTGTATCACCTTTTATATTATGTGCCCCTCCCCCTCTATAAAAGTTACATTGTATCACCTTTTATATTATGTGCCCCTCCCCCTCTATAAAAGTTACATTGTATAATAATATGTGCCCCTCCCCCCCATAAAAGTTACATTGTATCACCTTTTATATTATGTACCCCTCCCCCTCTATAAAAGTTACATTGTATCACCTTTGATATTATGTGCCCCTCCCCCCTATAACTGTTACATTGTATCATCTTTCATATCTCTCATGTGCCCCTCCCCCCCCTTTCAGTTACATTGTATCCCCTATTATATCTCTTATAATATTTTCGGGCTCCTGCATGGGAGGCGATGTGCGGGGCCCCGGGAACCTCCCTCCTTCCTAGAACTCAGAAGGCCGGAATGTTTGATTTGAAGGTTCGCGATCCCGCCGCCAGCGCGCTGAGACAAGGCGCAGAAAACGCCGTAATCAGAAACCCCATGTGGAGGGGGAGAGGATGTGGGAAATGAGGATCGGGATGGGGGGGGGGGGGGGGGGGGTCTGGATGGATATGAAGAAAACAGCTGGATGGTGAAAAGGATTGATGTGAAGACGGGGCCCCGGGCTCTTCCCACTGACCAGAGCCTGGAGTTACCTTCCCACCCCCCGGCACCTACCTTCCCATATCGGGAGCGACGCGTCTGCCTGCATCTCCCTTCCCTCCTCCCTCCACCTTACCATTTTCATTCCACGCCTTATTTTACACCCGTGATGTCATCACTGGGTCTCTGTGCTTCTCTATGCAATGCAGGCAGATCGTGGCTGGTGGGTGGGGCCGGCAGGGTGCTGTGTATAGCTCTCAAAGGGGCAGCTTTTCTGAAAAATGATACTGTTGCTGTATTTATATACGAAATGACAGGTCCACTTTGAGCCTGGATACTGATCACGTGACAGCCAGGCAATTGGCATTTTCAAATCTGATTCCATATATGTTTAGTTTAGCATCATTGCAAGATTTCAAGAAGGCCGGACAGGTAGGTATCAAAGGACGACTCTAAGGAAGGGAGGTGGGTGAGGCGGGGGGGGGTTCAGGGGAGGGGAGGGGGGCGATTTGCGGGTGGGCCGACTTCCACATTATGTTATCTCACGGTTCGTCTCGCGTAACGAACAACCTGGGGATTGAGACTTCTGACAAGAACAGCCATGAGAAGAGCCGCAGACTAATTGGAACAAGATGCAATGCGTCTCCCCAGCCGGGCCAGTCTGTATTCCAATGCCAAGAGGACCTGTCACCGGACACGTTCAGCTGCTCATAGTTGGCCTTCCTTGGTTCCCCCCCCCCCCATCTCCTTCATCAGCATGCTAATGAATAAATAAAACCTTTCCATTTCCATTACATACCTTATTTGAGACCCATCACTGGGTCTCTACGCTTGTCTATGCAATGCAGGCAGATGGTGGTGGCTGGTGGGAGGGTCCAGGACATAGCTTCCTTAACACATCACAGCGCCCTGCCTCAGTGCTAATTACCCCTGATGCAAGTGGTGGGAGGAGTTATGCAAATATCACAACCGCTTGATGGGCGGGTGTTAGTCTGGAGGCATGGTTGTTCCTAGACAGGCTGCATTTGCATAGGTAACGCCCACATGTGATGATGAGGCTCTGTGATTGAAAGAACTGAATCAAATGAATGAAAGGGGTGGGGACAGGCTGGAGAGGGAAGGGCTACATGAGGCCAGGGGCGGACTGACCATTCGAGCACTCGGGCACTGCCCGAGGGCCCGGGGTCAGTTGGGGGCCCCATGAGATGCCCCTGGTACCGTTTTTTATAGGCTTTTTTGAGTGTGGGCAAGGACACAGGGGCCCCAAGATCCCCTATTGCCTGGGGCCCCACGAGTTGTCAGTCCGCCCCTGCATGAGGCTGGACATCCTCCAGCCAGGAAATGGGGCGGAGCTCTCTCTGACTGGCTGCAGCTACTAATGCACATTGTGAGAAGCTCCCAGTGTGGGGTGATATCAGAGGAAGCCGATTCAGTCAGGGGAGGAGCCGGCACACCTGTGCAAGACTGGAAGGGGGAGGACAGCGGTACACCTGTGCAAGACTGGAGGGGAAGAGCCAGTACACCTGTGCAAGACTGAAGGGGAGGAGCCAGTACACACCTGTGCAAGACTGGAGGGGAGGAGCCAGTACACCTGTGCAAGACTGAAGGGGAGGAGCCGGTACACCTGTGCAAGACTGGAGGGGAGGAGCCAGTACACCTGTGCAAGACTGAAGGGGAGGAGCCGGTACACCTGTGCAAGACTGAAGGGGAGGAGCCAGTACACCTGTGCAAGACTGGAGGGGAGGAGCCAGTACACCTGTGCAAGACTGAAGGGGAGGAGCCGGTACACCTGTGCAAGACTGAAGGGGAGGAGCCGGTACACCTGTGCAAGACTGGAGGGGAGGAGCTAGTACAACTGTGCAAGACTGAAGGGGAGGAGACGGTACACCCTGTGCAAGACTGAAGGGGAGGAGCCGGTACACCCAGGAGGATGGGATCAAATTTAATGTATATCTAAAGTCAAGATCTTTTTTTTCTTTGAATTTCCCCAATAGTACTTCTCTGACACTAGATGTCCTCAGTCTGATGGCCAGCGTTATTCAACCCACTTCCTCTGAGCCCAGGTCATCCCGGACTATCCCCCAACCTGTGAGTGGACAGTGAAAGGAGAATCAGCGCAGTGTGCAGTGACATCAGAGGAAGCCGTTTCAGTGCAGGAGAGGAGACGGTACACCTGTGCAAGACTGAAGGGGAGGAGACGGTACACCTGCACAAGACTGAAGGGGAGGAGCCGGTACACCTGCGCAAGACTGGAGGGGAGGAGCCAGTACACCTGCGCAAGACTGAAGGGAGGAGCCGGTACACCTGCGCAAGACTGGAGGGGAGGAGCCGGTACACCTGTGCAAGTCTGAGGGGGCGGAGCCTGTACACCTGTGCAAGACTGAAGGGGGCGGAGCCTGTACACCTGTGCAAGAATGGAGGGAAGGAGCTGGTACACCCGTAGGATGGAGATTGAACTTTGGCACATTTCTACGAGGGAGGAAAAAATCGGCCGAGTTTTGCAACCTTTTGGATGAGTTGTGAAGAGTGCAAAAAATGCACCACCTTGTTCTTTTCTCACCCGCTGGGAGGTGGACCACCCTCTGGACCACCCAGCCTGAGAACTTCCCCCCCATCCCAGGACCAGGTCCATGATGACCCAGCACAGTTTCTCGTGTTTCGTGCGCCCCAGCAACGCTCCCTTTTTGGTATAATGCCATCTCCTGAGGTTTGGGACCGGCTCAGTGTCGACGAATGACGGCCGATCGCCCCCTTTGATCTCGGCTAACCCTCGATAATCCCGTCATTAGTCTAACATGCCGCTGACAGCTCCGTCTTACTTCCCCGTAATTACAGCCCAACGTTGAGAATACAAGACGTCTCTGACCAGAAGGGCCCACAGATAAAAAGAGGGGAAAAAAAATATCTTTTCTTCGAGTTAAAAGATTTAAAGATTTCAAAGAGCAAGGATTTCAAAGAAAAATAAGTTCTCATGATGGGGGATGGTGGGGGGGGGGAAAGTTTAATTCTCAGAAGCAAGGTATATCGACGACGTACAACACAAGCAGCCTTGTATCCGGCACATAGCTGTTATCTGACAACCCCGATGTCTTGACTACTATTGTCATCTCATGTACATTGGACTTCAAGGTTCATTCCACCGTAGAGGGAATTTCCAAGAAAAATTCAGCAGAATTAAATGTTTTCCATAGAATTGCTGACTTTGTAGTTTTTGTGAATTACTGAGAGACTTCCTGAATGAACCTTCTTCTTCTTGATGGTGACCGTCCGTGGTCTGAGTGCACTGTGGAGGGTTATGTGTGGCCTGTAAGGAGTATGCTGTGATTTCTTCTCTTTATCACTTGTGGTAGGAGTGGTGCGTCCAGCTTTTCAGGAATCCAGCCGCTGGCACCTTCGGGTTCTATCCAGAGTGCCAACACCACGACCAATCAGAAGACAGCTCTCCTGATTGTTGTGGGTGCTTAAAGGGTTGGGTGTCGCAATGCTGGGCTTCCATGCAGTGTGTCACTCTGTCAAAGCCAAGCCTTCTGCTACAGTCCTTGTTGCCTGTCTTCAGTGACCCCTTCAGTGACCCCAATGACCCCTCTGTGCTTCTGTCTCCAGTGTCTACTATATTTCCACTAGTGGCCTCTCTGCACTCCCGTGCCTCCAGTGCCCCTGTGCACTCCTGTGCCTCAAGTCACCCCTGTGCACTCCTGTGCCTCCAGTCACCCCTGTGCACTCCTGTGCCTCCTCTTCCCTGTGCACTCCTGTGCCTCCAGTCACCCCTGAGCACTCCTGTGCCTACAGTGCCCCTGTGCCTCCAGTCACCCCTGTGCACTCCTGTGCCTCCAGTGACCCCTGTGCCTCCAGTCACCCCTGTGCACTCCTGTGCCTCCAGTCACCCCTGTGCACTCCTGTGCCTCCTCTTCCCTGTGCACTCCTGTGCCTCCAGTCACCCCTGAGCACTCCTGTGCCTACAGTGCCCCTGTGCCTCCAGTCACCCCTGTGCACTCCTGTGCCTCCAGTGACCCCTGTGCCTCCAGTCACCCCTGTGCACTCCTGTGCCTCCAGTCACCCCTGTGCACTCCTGTGCCTCCTCTTCCCTGTGCACTCCTGTGCCTCCAGTCACCCCTGAGCACTCCTGTGCCCCTATGCACTCCTGTACCTCCAGTGACCCCTGTGCCTCCAGTGACCCCTGTGCCTCCAGTCCCCCTGAGCACTCCTGTGCCCCCCCTGTGTACTCCAGTGACCCCTGTGCCTCCAGTCACCCCTGTGCCTCCAGTCACCCCTGTGCACTCCTGTGCCTCCTGTGCCTGCCTCCAGTCACCCCTGTGCCTCCAGTGACCCCTGTGCTGTGCCTCCAGTGCCCCTGTGCACTCCCTGTGCCTCCTGTGTGCCTCCTGTGCCTCCTGTGCACTCCTGTGCCTCCAGTCACCCCTGTGCACTCCTGTGCCTCCCAGTCACCCCTGTGCACTCCTGTGCCTCCGGTGACTCCTGTGCCTCCAGTCACCCCTGTGCACTCCTGTGCCTCCTGTGCCTCCAGTCACCCCTGTGCACTCCTGTGCCTCCTGTGCCTCCAGTCACCCCTGTGCACTCCTGTGCCTCCAGTGACTCCTGTGCACTCCTGTGCCTCCAGTGACTCCTGTGCCTCCAGTGACTCCTGTGCCTCCTATGCCTCCAGTCACCCCTGTGCACTCCTGTGCCTCCAGTGACTCCTGTGCACTCCTGTGCCTCCATTGACTCATGTGCCTCCTGTGCCCCTATGCACTCCTGTGCCTCCTGTGCCTCCTGTCCAGTGCCTCCAGTGACTCCTGTGCCTCCTATGCCTCCAGTCACCCCTGTGCACTCCTGTGCCTCCAGTGACTCCTGTGCACTCCTGTGCCTCCATTGACTCATGTGCCTCCTGTGCCCCTATGCACTCCTGTGCCTCCAGTGACTCCTGTGCCTCCAGTCACCCCTGTGCACTCTGTGCCTCCTGTGCCCCTGGGCACTCCTGTGCCTCCTGTGCCTCCTATGCCTCCAGTCACCCCTGTGCACTCCTGTGCCTCCTGTGCCCCTGGGCACTCCTGTGCCTCCTGTGCCCCTGTGCACTCCTGTGCCTCCGGTCACCCCTGTGCACTCCTGTGCCTCCAGTCACCCCTGTTCCTCCTGTGCCTCCAGTCACCCCTGTGCCTCCAGTCACCCCTGTGCACTCCCTGTGCCTCCGGTCACCCCTGTGCACTCCTGTGCCTCCAGTCACCCCTGTTCCTCCTGTACCTCCTGTGCCCCTGTGTGCCCCTGTGCCTGTGCCCCTGTGCACTCCTGTGCCTCCAGTCACCCCTGTTCCTCCTGTGCCTCCTGTGCCCCTGTGCGTCCTGTGCCCCTGTGCACTCCTGTGCCTCCAGTCACCCCTGTGCACTCCTGTGCCCCTGTGCCTCCTGCCTCCAGTGCCTCCTGTGCCCTGTGCTGTGCACTCCTGTGCGTCCTGTGCCCCTGTGCACTCCTGTGCCTCCTGTCACCCCCTTCCTCCTGTGCCTCCTGTGCCTCCTGTGCCCCTGTGCACTCCTGCACCCTGTGCCTCCTGTGCCCCTGTGCACTCCTGTGCCTCCAGTCCCCTGTTCTCCTGTGCCTCCTGTGCCCCTGTGCACTCCTGTGCCTCCTGTGCCCTGTGCCCTCCTCCTGTGCCTCCTGTGCCTCCTGTGGCCTCCTGTGCCTCCTGTGCCTCCTGTGCCTCCAGTCACCCCTGTGCACTCCTGTGCCTCCAGTCACCCTGTGCCCCTGTGCCTCCAGTCACCCCTGTTCCTCCTGTGCCTCCTGTGCCCCTGTGCGTCCCTGTGCCCCTGTGCACTCCTGTGCCTCCAGTCACCCCTGTTCCTCCTGTGCCTCCTGTGCCCCTGTGCGTCCTGTGCCCCTGTGCACTCCTGTGCCTCCAGTCACCCCTGTTCCTCCTGTGCCTCCTCCTGTGCCTCCTGTGCCCCTGTGCACTCCTGTGCCTCCTGTGCACTCCTGTGCGTCCTGTGCCCCTGTGCACTCCTGTGCCTCCAGTCACCCCTGTTCCTCCTGTGTGCCTCCTGTGCCTCCTGTGCCCCTGTGCACTCCTGTGCCTCCTGTGCCCCTGTGCACTGTTCCTCCTGTGCCTCCTGTCACCCCTGTGCCTCCTGTGCCTCCTGTGCCCCTGTGCACTCCTGTGCCTCCTGTGCCCCTGTGCACTCCTGTGCCTCCTGTGCCCCTGTGCACTCCTGTGCGTCCTGTGCCCCTGTGCACTCCTGTGCCTCCAGTCACCCCTGTTCCTCCTGTGCCTCCTGTGCCTCCTGTGCCCCTGTGCACTCCTGTGCCTCCTGTGCCCCTGTGCACTCCTGTGCCTCCAGTCACCCCTGTTCCTCCTGTGCCTCCTGTGCACTCCTGTGCCTCCTGTGCCCCTGTGCACTCCTGTGCCTCCTGTGCCCCTGTGCACTCCTGTGCCTCCTGTGCCCCTGTGCACTCCTGTGCCTCCTGTGCCCCTGTGCACTCCTGTGCCTCCGGTCACCCGTTCAAGTTGAGTCCAAATGTTTTCTAACATCCCAAACAAAAGAGTGCAACATTTCGGAGTCACGCAGGACCCCTTGGTCAGCCCCGTGCCCTCCTGCCACGTTAGTGAACATGCCTGCACTGAGCAGGAGACGATACATCTGAGGACAGGTCCACTTTACAACGTGGGAGTTTCCGGCAGCAGAGAACACTAACAAGGGTTCTCAGACGTAGCCCCTCCCCCACACGTTTTGGGAATTTTTGGTGAATATTACCATTTCGGAGGATTCTGTGACTCTTTTGTGGTTCTCACTTCGTATTTCCTGGAATGAAACAAAAGTCGCTCTTTTCTTTTCGGAAATATTTCTGCTGCGTCACCCCCAGCCAATGACAATGGCCCGTCTATGGAAAACTGCGGAGTCACCGCCATGTGAAATACGGAAGTCTTTTGTTCGATGTCTGCAAGGACGTATCGGTCATAAAACATGGCGGGCGGGCTGATATACTTCCTGCCTTCTCATTTTTGCTTCCAAAGCGTGGGGCATGATGGGACTTCGTCTACAGATCAGCCCCACCCAGCAAAGGGCCCGAGAGCCACAATGTAAATTCGGGGAGCCATAAGCAGCCCAAATCTGATTCCAAATTGGTTTAGGAACGTGAAAAGGACGATCGCGCCAAAGAAATAACGAGAGCCCGGGAAAAATGGGAAAATCCAATGCGTTTCGGGGGCTCAGTACTCCCTTCTTCAGGGTTTAGATGCTGACCGAAGAACACTGAACAACCGATCGGTAAAAGGAAAAAAATGGTGCCCATTCTCCTCATTGACTGTCAGCATTGAACCCCTGATGAAGGGAGAGCACTGAGCCCCTGATGAATGGGAGCACTGAGCCCCTGATGAAGGGAGCACTGAGCCCCTGATGAAGGGAGAGCACTGAGCCCCTGATGAAGGAG